GGTTTGCAAAAATCCACAAGGCTGTGGTTGCGATGGCAAACAACTTTAACCTGGTTGTGGATGAGGATGACATTGGGGAACTCCTAGAGGTGGTTCCTGAGGAAATGACTAATGAGTTGTTGGAACTGGAACAGGAATGCATAGCTGAAGAAGAGGCAAGAGAAAAGGAAACTGCAGGAGAAGAAAAAGAAGAAGAACCTCCAAGAAAATTCACAATGAAGGATTTAGTAGAAGCTTTTGCAGACCTCAACAAGCTCCTTAAAAAGTTTGAAAACATGGACTCCAACACTGAAAGGTTTTCATTAATAGAGAGGAATGTTCCTGGTGCATTATATGCTTACAAGCAAATCTATGATGAAAAAAACAAACAAACCAAGCAAACCACCATGGATGTATTTCTGAAAAAAGTGACACCTCCTCAAGAATAGCCTCAGGCAGGTCCTTCAGGAGGTATTCCAGAAGAAGGGGTTATTATCATAGAAGACGACAGCTCCATGCGTGTTATTGCCCTTGAAGACCTTCCAGTGGGACAAGATGTGGAGGTGGAAGGCAGTGATACTGATGATCCTGACCCTGTGTAGGCCTAGGCTAATGTGTGTGTTTGCGTCTTAGTTTTTAACAAAAAAGTTTAGAGTAAAAAAAAGAATAAAAAATTTTAAAAATAGAAAAAAGCTTATAGAATAAGGATATAAAGGAAGAAAATATTTTTCTACAGCTGTACAATGTGTTTGTATTTTAATCTGTGTTATTACAAAAGAGTCAAATAGTTAAAAAAAATTAAAAAGTTCATAAAGTAAAAAAGTTACAGTAGCTAAGGTTAATTTATCATCGAAGAAAGAAAAATACTTTTTTATAAATTTAGTGTAGCCTAAGTGTAGAATGTGTATAAAGTCTACAGTAGTGTGCAGTCATGTCCTAGGCCTTCACATCACTCAGCACTCACTCACAGCAACTTCCAGTCCTGCAAGCTCCATTCATTGTTAGTGCCCTATATAGGTATGCTATTTTTTATCTTTTATACCATATTTTTACTGTACCTTTTCTATGTTTAGATATGTTTAGATACACGACTAGTGACCATTGTATTATAATTGCCTACAGTATTCAGTACAGTAACATGCTGTGCAGGTTTGTAGCCTAGGAACAATAGACTATACCATACAGCCGGGTTGTGTAGCTGGCTCTACCATCTAGGTTTGTGTTAGTGCACGCTATGATGTTCGCACAATGACGAAATCACCTAATGACGCATTTCTCAGAATGGTATCCTCATCGTTAAGTGACATGTGAGTGTACATCCCTCCAAGAGCTAGAGAAGCCCCAGTGTCTCCAAGACATGGAGATGTCATAGAGATGTCTTTGACCTAGAGATGTCTCCAAGGTTCTGGGACATATATCTCCTTGAAATGTAAAATATTATGGATATTCCTGGCATCGTGGGAGCTTGACCTAGGGGACTAGGCCAGACTATAACCGTTTGACCTTCTTGGGGAGACAAGAGAAGTTTTATTATCCTTTTGGATCAGAGAAAGTAACTAGACAAATGCTATAGATCTAATCCCCACAGTCACATGGAAAGTACAATGTTTGTAGAGAAAGTGAAGGCAAAACATTACCTTTATATTATATAGATTTCTGTGTCTCCAGATACTAAAGCTTTTTACAGGAGCACTGAGAAATCGAGGGAAGATTTATTTCCTCACATTGATTTATCAACGATAGAGAGTTTTGTTATAATCTTTCATCATGATTGCAGATTTGTCAATTTCTCTTTGTATCTTTGTGGCTATATTGTTAGATGCTCCCGCATTTAGAATTGTTACGTATCTTTAGTGAATTGTTTTTTTATCTATAATATAGCGACCCTCTTTATCAGATAAGCTTTAAAAATTTACCTAAAATACAATACTGAACAAGATGACCACAAATGAAACTTGATAGCTAAATTAATATCAGAGGGAAAACATGAAAGCAAAAGCATTATTACGGATAATCTTTGTCTTCTAACCAGTGAATTTTGTTAACTTTATTGTTACCAGATATACTTGGATTAATTTTTCTCATCTTATTTTACCCTATTTATGCTTTTTTAAAAATGCTTCTTTTTCCTCCTTTCTTGCCTTTATATATTGAGTCTTAAAATCTACCCCCCTTTTATCATTTTTATGTTTTAGAAGGTATACATTCTATTTCTACTATTGCAGTGGTTTCTCTTAAATGTTTTTAACATGTGCATTTACCTTAATAAAGCCTAAAGTAAATTAACATCTATGCTTTCTTCCTGAATAATTACTAGAATTTAGAACACTTCAACTCTGATTACTCTCTCCAGTCTTAGAATATTACTATTACCTAATGTTTTTGTTCCACTTTGTTTTTGTACCCTCACATTAATCATCATCATTATAGATTTTTATAAGGTTAATGGCTTTACCTCTATACTTGCTAGTTTCTTTGCCCATCATTACCATTTCTATCTCAAGCCTTTCTTCTGATTCCAATGTTCTTTAGAAGTTCTTTTGTAAAAGGTCTGTTGGAGGCAAACTCTCTCAATCTTTGTCTTAAAAGTGTCTTTACTTAATGCTCATCCTTGAGTTGCAATTTACTTGCACATAGTATCTGAGATTGATAAGTATTTTCTGTTGAATTTTGCTTTCTCTGGTTGCTAAGTGACTTTCTTTTGTAGGTAATCTCTCTCTGGTTGCATTTAAGGTTTTCCTTTGTTTTGGCTTTTTCCAATTTCACTACAATGCCATGGTATCTTTTGATTTTCCTGTTTGAGATTTCTTGTGCTTCTTGAATCTGAGAATTGTTGCTTTTCATCAGTTCTAGTGCATTTTTATCTGTGGTATTTTTAAATTTTGCTTTGATTCCATTCTCTCCGTTCTCTCCTTCTGGAAATTCTATAAAGATATATAGAATGTTGGACCTTTTCATGTTATGTAATGTGTCTCTTAACCACCGTTACATTTTCCATCTCCTTATCTCTCTATGCCTTATCCTCTGTAATTTCTTCCAATACATATTCCAGTTTGCTAATTCTTTTTGAGCTGGGATTCATCTGCTGTTTAACTCATCCATTGAGTTGTTAATTTTAATCATTATAATTCCCATAAATTTTATTTGGTTCTTTTATAAATCTTTCCAGTCTTTTTTTTTTTTTTTAAAGATTTTATTTATTTATTTATTTTTTTCCCCCAAAGCCCCAGTAGGTAGTGGTACATCATAGCTGCACATCCTTCCAGCTGCTGCACGTGGGATGGGGCCTCAGCATGGCCGGAGAAGCGGCGCGTTGGTGCGCGCCCGGGATCCGAACCCGGGCCGCCAGCAGCGGAGCGCGAGCACTTAACTGCTAAGCCATGGGGCCGGCCCTTTCCAGTCTTTTTTTGACAGCAGCTTTTCTCAAGAATCTATTTTTCTATGTCTTTATCACCTTCATGTTTTTCTAATCACTATCTGACAATTTTATTAATGGAATTATTGTTTTTCTGTTGTTGCCTTTTATTGGATTTATTTTCCCTCATGTGTTTTGTAATTTTTATTGACAGCTCATTTTGTTGGGGCTTAATCTATAGGAATCCTGTAAGGCCTGGTTTGAGGATGTGTCCCTTTAGAGAGATGATAATTATTTCTGCCAAATGTCTCAGAGTTACTACCAAGTTGGAAGCTCTTTGCATGTTAATGTATCAAATCCAATTACAAAGGTAATAAATTCAAATTAGATCCCACAAACAATTAAAACTCAAATTCCAATCTACATGATAGCTGGTCTTTGGTTACAAATTCTTCAGGAATTTTTTTTTTCATCCCAGGCTAGGTACCTTAGTTTTTTTTTTTTTTTAATTTTATTTATTTATTTTCCCCCCAAAGCCCCAGTAGATAGTTGCATGTCATAGCTGCACATCCCTCTAGCTGCTGCATGTGGGACGCGGCCCCAGCATGGCCGGAGAAGCGGTGCGCCGGTGCGCGCCAGGGATCCGAACCCGGACCGCCAGCATCAGAGTGCGCGCACTTAACCGGTAAGCCACGGGGCTGGCCCTACCTTAGTTTTTCTTTTGCCAATAGGTAGGTTTTTTTTTTCTCTCTCTCTTTCATAATCCTGGATTTCTCTCTCTCTTTCTCTTTCTCACTCTGACTCGGTTATAACTCCCAGCTTTGTACAAGCCTGGTAACTTTTTCTGTCCCTGCATGGCCAGTGAACTCTGAATCTATTTGTTATGAAAAGCAGCAGCCATCCCCACTGTTCCTCTAGCCTGAGCAGCTATAGCATGAACACCTTATTATGAGTCTAGGTTTACAAAGATTGGCACCCTGGAGATTTTCCTTACTTTCTTGAAAACTCAGTTATGTTTTTTTAAAAAATGTTTGTTTTAGAAAGTAGAAAAGTGGTTGCCAGGGGCTGTGGAGTAAGGAAAATAGGGAGAATTTGGAAAAAAGGTACAAACATTCAGCTATAAGATAAATAAGGTCTGAGGATCTAGTGTAAATTATGGTGACTATAGTTGATAACACTGTGTTGTATATTGAAATTTGCTAAGAGAGTAGAACTTAAATGTTCTCACACACACACAAAAGATAAATATGTGAGGTGATGGATGTGTTAATTAACTAGATGGGGGGAATCCTTTCACAATGCATGTGTATATCAAATCACCACAATGTACACTTTAAATATCTTACAATTTTGTATGTCAATTATACCTCAATAAAGCTGAAATTTTAAAAATTTCAAAAGAAATATTTTTTAAAATGTTTGTTTTAGCATTTACTCATGTTTTGTATCAAGAGGATTTCCAGATTTTCTAGTCTACCAGAAATAGAAATAGAAGCCAAGGTGGGTTCTTTGATCTTTCCCAGGAATCCTATATCTTTTAAAAAATCCAGTTCAGTTCAGCAAACAATTGTTGAATGCCTTTTATGTACTATTTAGGGAAATCACTCATTTTCTATCAGAATGCCACTTTCATTCAGAATCATGTATTTCTTTTCTTTGTGTTTAGATTTTCATCCACCTCAGTTTAAGAGATGTGATAATATGTGGTCACGTTAGTCACTTCTGGTTGTCAATGACACAAATAAGATCCTTGTGGAATGACGTAAGTAGACGCTACCTGAAGCTCTGTCTTTATTCTGGTTCTTAAAGGAGAACAGACTCTATAAAGCCAACTGTAGTAGGGACTACATTCTTCCCTGCTCCCCCTGTGAGGCCACAAGAAACTAGGTGCATTTGTTTCTCTTTTGTCCAGGCACAAGCCTGAAGGACAAGATAAAAAGATAATAATGTTATTTTAAGAGATACATTATTAGTATTTTCTAATTTAAATGGTAGAAATAAATTGAATATTATTTTTGGATTGAAACAAAGCTCCATTATATCTGAGTTAGGCTTAACATTGCCCAACTCAGGATGCTGCAGAAATGAACTGAGAAAATGCAAAAGTTGTTACTGTACGGCCTGCGATATGGGCAGCACTCAAGAAATAGTAGCTACTATTCTTAGTTCAAAAGACATAACAAAGCAGCACAAAATATGGAGTAAAGGAAAATACAACTAGGCATGAAAAAGGGCTAAAATATACAACACATAAACAAAGGTTGTTTGATAGTCTGTGTGACATAGACACACATACTCTCAGGCATTTTCTAATATGGACTTCTAGGCTGGTACCTCTGTACCACTGAAGTATTGTACTGTTGAACTATTGCCATTGAACTATTTTTGTATTGTTCTTATAACCTAGAGCATGCCTGTGTTTTTCATTCCAAAGAGAGACTGGGGAGAGGTCTCAGCCAACAGCAAAAAATAAGCATATATTATCCCCAATGACTTCTCTTTTCTGTTTCTTGGATGTTACTTTAATCTTAACAACTGTGATCCTTTATGTCATTAACCAATGTTGCAGTGGCAACATTTTCTTCGTCACCTAAAGTCTGGTCAATAGCTGACGTCACCACCTCTCCTTAATTGCTAATGATTGGAGGACTAATGATATCACGTGCTCAGACTGACCTATGAATAGGTGGCAGGGGCTATTTTGCAGAAACTCTAAAAACTTAGACAGAGAAACTAAGAGGAGTTGACCAAGCGCCAGGGCCTCTGGCTCCATAAATCAACCCAACATCTTACGTCCCATCAGAGCACCATTCCATTCTTGCTGTACTGTTCTGCTCTCACCTTGTGCAACAATGGCAAGAAGAAAATGTGCTTCTGTCTTAGCTAACCCATCTTAGCTACCAAACTTAGTATTCCTGTCTTAAATTTATTTTTAGTTTAAGGCAGTGATTCTCAAACTTTAGAATGCATCAGAATTATCTGAAAAGATTGTTAAAACAGATTACTGGTTGCCACCCCCAGAGTTTCTGACTCATTAGGTCTGGGGTGGGGCCTGAGAATCTGCACTTCCAGCAAGTTACTGCATAATGCTGATGCTGCTGGTCCCAGGACCACACTTTGAGAACCGCTGGTTTAAAGTAATAAATCTCTTACTTATGTGACAGATTGGGGATGTTACTTTTTCCTTTGGAAAACCTGTAAAGAAGAAAAAAATGAATCTGAATGGTGTGGATGAGTAAGAATATGTACAATACTGAGATCAGGGCAAATCCTGCAGGAGGCTGGCAGAAAAAGCCAGCACTCTGCCCAGAAACTTCATTGGGTAAAGATGGAGAAAATATGAGCACATGGCCGTGAAGAACAAAGCCAGCATAGGAAGTTAAGTTTCTTTATGTTCAGCAAATTTCTCTTTCCACAATTCTATGTTACCCTTTATCTTCAATTATTTTTGCCTTTATTTGTGAGGGCTCAAATGTGGCACAACTGTAACAAACATTTTTGTACAAAGAATAGCCTTGTTCTGAAGGCAATGAGAAATTGGATGTTTATAAACTTAACCTTTTAACTGAAAGACGTTATTAATACTATGATATCTATGTTATTGTTTATTAACTAGCCCTTGCCACTCAGAGTTCACATAAACCTCTGTGCTCTTCAGTTTTACATACAATCAGCCAGGTACACTCAGGGCATCTTTCCTTTTCTCTAGAACTACCTCCTCCAAATTATGAGTTGTGAAAAGGCCATTATAAACCACACACTCTAAATTGTCTTTCCCATAGTCAAGGACTCAACATGTAGTCTGTGCTCAGGAAAAAAGAAGCAGGTACACGTTAATAATGAACCCAGGGCGGGTTCATTGACATTGAAGTGGGGGGCAGCCTTGAGGCTCACCTGGGGTGATGGGGAGCATTCAGACCACTCTAAGACGGTTGACTCTGTTGGTGGGTGGACGTGAGGTCCCTGCCCTCTCAGCTGTCTACCGTGACTGGACATTTGGAATCTGTTTGTAATTAAACCTGAAAACGACCACAAAAAAAAAAAACCTGTTTGTAATTAAATCTGGGAATGATCGTGAAAACAAACAAACAAAAATGAGCCATGTGACGAAAGCATTTTAGTTCTTGATGCTTTAAAAATGTTAAAAATTTTTACATACAAAAGGTATTTCTTATTTCTTCATGCCTTCTGTTTATCCTTTTTAGATTGATTTTTCCACAATAAAAAACATGGTCACAGCTAAATATATAGGTGTCTGCTTTGCAAAGGTGGCGTCTGAATGTACTTTGCTTGAATTTTCGTGTTTGTCCTCTCCCACTGAAAACTCTGAGATATGTCAGTAAGTATGTGCATTACAACTGTTTGTCTTGCTTTCCTGTATTTTAATTAAACAAATGTAAAGAAGTGTATAAATAAGATGGAAACATCGGTTACAGTCTTAGGCCATAAGAATGCTAATTAAAGCCATTTAAAAAGCTTATAATACGGGCCGGCCCCGTGGGCTTAGCCATAAAGTTCACAAATTCCGCTTCGGCGGCCCGGGGTTCGCTGGTTGGGATCCTGGGCTCGGACCTACTCACCACTCATCAAGCCATGCTGAGGTGGCATCCCATATAGAAGAACTACAACTCTACAACTACGATACACAACTATGTACTGGGGCTTTGGGGAGAAAAAGGGGGGAAAAAAAAGAGGAAGATTGGCAACAGATGTTAGCGCAGGGCCAATCTTCCTCAAAAAACAAAAACAATGGTTGGAGGAAGAAAACACCACTCCCCCCCACCCCCCAAAATCTTATAATATAGTCAGCTCTTACTAGACTGTATGCCCTGGGAGTTGGTCCTTTGTCCATTCTTATTGATCACTTTTTTTTTGTCTGTCATTTATCTATCTATGTATCATCAATTTACCTAAAAAATACAACATGAGAACATATTCTTATTTTGAAAATTTTAACAATAGACATTAAAAGCAAAAATCTCCCTTTATCTCCCTCAAACCCATTCACTTAAAGTTACTTAACCTTATCAGTTTTCTCTTTTCTAAAACACATTTACATATATGTGATTAAAAATACACAATTTTAATTTTTGTATATTTTCTTTATGTCCTGGAAATATTTCCATGTCAGTACATATAGAACTACTAAATTATTTTTAAATACTTAAAACCATTTTCCATACTATGGATGTACCATAATTTATTTAGCTTTCTTCCTATTGATGGACATTGAGGTTACTTCCAATTTTTTTCAAGCTGCTTTGTAGTTTGATTGTGATATTTGCCTTTAACTGTCTTAGTCAGTTCAAACTGCTATAACAAAGTTCCATCGACTGGGTGCCTTATAAACAAAAGTAACTTATTTCTCACAGTTCTGGAGGCTGGCTGCCCAAGATCAGGGTGCCAGTGTGGTTGAGTTCTAGTGAGGACCCTCTTCCAGGTTGCAGACTGCTGTCTTCTCATTGTATCCTCATATGGCAGAGAGAGGGAGAGAGAGCTCTCTGGGGTCCCTTGTATGAGGGCACTAGTCCTATTCATGAGAGCTCCACTCTGATTATATCCCGAAGGCCCCGCCTCCTAATACCATCACATCGGGGGTTACAATTTCAACATATGAATTTCAAGGGGACACAAACACTCAGTCCATTGTATTAACCTATCTGTCCTTTGTGGTACATTTCTTAGTTTTCATATATATTTCTGGAATTGAGAGAAAAAATATATTTCAGAAAGTATACATCCATACTGATTTCAGATAATGAGAAAAAATGCCATAAACATGTGTAAATATCAACATGAATGAGTCTGAAGATATTAACGGGGGAAAGCAAGTTGCAGAATGATATATATAATCTAATACAGTTTGTATACAATTTTTCAATGTTCAAAATAATAATATATATAATTTAACATATAACATATAATTTGCTTTAGATTTCACGTATAATTTATATTTTCAAATAATTTCAATAATATATGTTTAAGGACACACACGCACACCAAACTGTCAAAAGCATGCATGGAAATGAAAAACTCCAAATGCAAGATAGTGATTACCTTTGAGGTGGAGAGAGTTGAATGAAGGAAGTTTCACAAGGAATGAAGAGGTTCACAAGGAGTTTCAACTGTATCTGTAGTTTTTTTTAATTGAAGAAAGAAAGAAAATATACAAAATGGATTAATTCTGATTGTTGAAGAAAGCTATAGTTTTTTGCATGATGTTATTGCATCTGATCACGTATTAAACTCTCTTCTTGGTATTAATAGTTTGTCAGTTGATTCTCTTGTGTTTTCTAGGTAGACTATCATGTCATCGGGAAATATTAATAGTTTTATTTCCATTTATTCCTATTCTTATGTCTTTTATTTCTTTTTTCAGTAGCAGAGATATGCAGCCATGTTGTCTTGTTCTTGACTCTTTTTTTGTATTTTTAAAGAGAATAGTTTTTTTTTTTTATTGATGTTTTAATGGTTTCTAACATTGTGAAATTTTTGGGTTGTACATTTTTGTTTTTCCATCACCATATATATGACTCCCTTCACCCCTTGTGCCCACCCCCCACCCCCACTGCCCCTGGTAACCACAGTCCAGTTTTCTCTGTCCATGTG